TCAACTGAAGCAAAGTTTAATCATCCCTAAATTCAGAGGCACATGCACTCATAATCCCTTTGTAATTTGCCGCTCCATTTTATAAATAGACTACAAGCTAAATATATCTTGTGACCTAAAATATGTCCAGATTAAAGTAATTAAAGGATGAAAAGTGAAAACAAAATGGAAAATATAATGGGTCTATTTGATTGTGTTCTATTTTTTTTTTTATTTTTAAAACTATTTTGTAGAATGGTTAATGAAAAATGTGATTTTTATGTTTCTTTTTTTTTACATTTTATAATCAAAACACAAAACAAAAATAACTCGGATATACTCTCTAAATTTGATTCTAAAAATTAAAAAATAGTTACAATTTTTTTTTTTTTTTTTACAAAACAGATCTTAATAAACATTTTTTTTTGAAAAGTATTTTTAAAAACAATATTCAAACAAGTCCCATAATTTCTATTATGAAATGAAACTCAAGATGTCATTTTTCGTTTTAACAAATGCCCTCAAATTGAACAATTATGAAAGTGTGAGATAAAGTTCCACAGCATCCTATACTATAGAGAATCGAATTACTATAGTCATGTGGGATTCTCAGCTTCGAACAGCAAGGCATCTTTGTTGTATTGCTAGTGTGAACCAATTAGCAAACAGAAATGGTTTTTTGTTAGAATTTAGTAGTGGTTGCCACGCAATCATGATAGTGATATAGGTTGGAAGGATTATTGTAAAGAATTGAAGTTATCGGTAGCTTCTTTTGTCTTAGTAATTTCTTACCTTTCACGAGAGTCGAATACATCATTTCATTTTGAAGGAAAATAACCTTTTGATGATGGTACAATGAAGCATCTAACAATGATGCTGATTTTAGACTTTTTTTTTAGACCAAGAAATTTATTTACATTTTTTGAGTGGAGAAATTCTCAAGTACTTTAAAAATAATACTTGAGTGTTTTTTTAATCATACACCAACATCCATATGATTTGTATAAAAAGTAAATTATAAAATGGTCCATATGATTATGTAATCTACTCCACCGAGCTTTTTCTTTGAGTAATCCATGTGGGCACAATTTTTCAGATTTAAGTGAAATTTAAACACTCACTAACTTCACTTATATGAGGATCAGCAGCTAAGCCATGGTTTATTTTTCTTTTTAGAATGATATAAAAATGAAAATATGAAAATTTTGATGCTAGTTGTATATAGTATGGAATATCAACATGCTGCTACTTCTAAGTACTGCATTCCTAACAAACATACTTAGAGCTTGTTTGGATGGACTTTTTTTTCTTCAAAAGTTATTTTTTTTAAGAAAAAAAAATACTTTTCGAAAAAAATCTGTTTGGATATCTGTTTTTAAAAAAAGTAGAAGTCATAAAAAAAGTTAAAAATTTACTTTTTTCGGAAGTTAAAATTTTTAACTTTTACAAAAAGCAGAAGTCGGAAGTCACATATTCTTTTTCAAAAATCAGATAATTTTTTTTTAAATCTAAATAGTTGTAACTTTTATAGAAAGTACTTTTAAAATAAGGAAGTGATAAAAAGAACTTTCTTCAAAAGTCAATACAAATGACCCCTTAATTCTTGAAGATAACTTTTTTCTTTAAAAATTAAAAGTAATCATATTTTAAACCAAGTATATGCATAAGCAATATTAACAGTTATTTTGATAAGTGGTTTTGGGCTAAAATATTGGTCACCGTTTAGTGTTTTAATAATAATTAAGAAGTAATATACAATTCTTCTTTTGGTTGGTATGAACTAAAAGTGTGGGACCATCATAAACATGACATTGGTGGACATAGTTAGCTCTAAGATCTTTTTCTTCTTCAAGTCGGTTGCCTATAATAAATAAAACCCTTCCAATAAATTTTTTTATCATAACTTTTAGGCTATCTTAAGCTGGTTAATATACAATTATCTTAAATGGTTATGTGAAACTTTTTTTTTTTTAGGGCCGCATAATTTTTTTTAATTATTATGTAAAAATTTAAAAACTTTTACAGGATCGTGGCTCCGAATGCATAATGTAACAGCATTAATTTAATGAAACAAAAATCGCAGGTGTACAAAATCATTAATTATTACATGTGAAATAGTTACAAAGTTTTCAATATATAGCACTACCCATATTAAAAAGCAAACATATAATTTATATATTAAGATATATAATAACATGCAAAAGCAGTTACGCATTGTATATATATATATATATATATATATATATATATATATATATATATGATTAATTTATATCGATGTAAGAATAACAAATTTTATACTAAAAGTTAATAGTTGATTTCTGACAATCTAATAGTTATAATTTATTAGAAAATAATAATTAATTAATTAAAATGATCCAATAAATTATAACCATTACATGTAAGGAAATTAACGGTTAAGTTTTGATGTAAAATTTCTTATTCTATACCGGTGTAAGAATAAGCTACCACAAATCTATTTTTTTTGTTTTAAAATTTAAAAGTCAAAACATAAAATAAAAATAACTCATATATATTCTGTGAATTTCATTTTAAAAATAAAAAATAGTTACAATTTTTCAATTATTTTTCAAAACAGACCTTATCAAACATGTTTTTTTTTTATTTTATATTTTAAATTGAATTTTTTTTTTTTGAAACAGATTTTAAATAGGTCCTTTGTTTTTATTAGTAAACATGTTACTGTAGAATTTTTTACATTATGCATTAATTGCTTCAAAATAAAATATTATAACTTTTATTATAGTCAAACTTTATTTTTTTATAATATGTCCATATATGTTTAAATGAGAGTATATAAAACTTTTATATCAATAGTTCATCGAAAAAAATCCAAAGCTGTATAGCAATATTTTGATAGTCAAGTCTCACAATAACAATATAAATTTAGAAAAAAATTATATTAAAAAAGACAATGTTCATAAAGCATAAAAAAAATCATTTCATGATTCAAAAATATCAATACGCGGGGGAAATATAACAAAATAAAAAAATACTGGATGGAAATTGGTTTCAAACATGAGGGAAAATATTTTTAATATTGATACATCAATAATTTTTAGTTATCTTTTATTTTATTTTAACATAGATATATGACAGCTGAACTTTTTAGCTGAAAATATTATTAAAAAAAGAGTAGAAAACAAATCTTCCAATAACATAAAAGAAAAATATTAAAAGAAGAAGAAGAAGAGAAAAACATATTGGGGATGATGCTTTAGCTTATGTAGTGACCACTTAAAAAAAGAGCAAATTATATGAGTTTTTAATCTAAACTAAAAGGATGGCAAGATTTGATGAAAATATTTAATGTAGTTGACTTCGTCATTGAACAAGCCATCTCTGACACAAGGGATCCGAAGCCATTCAACAATGTCCTAATTTTATTTAAATTTCTGAAAATACTTTTTGTTTGCTACTTTGTAGCTTGATTATTATTTACCTATTATTCAACCACATATTAGTGGAATTATGAAAAAATAGTAGTTCTTGGTGATACTTAATGAATTACTAAGGGCATTCAACTTTTTTGTTTATAACAATAACTATACTTGGACATATTTTATCCTAAAAGTTCATTTTTTTTTGCCGATAATATAGATAAATTATTTACTTTAAGTCTAAAATGATATTATTTTGGGACGAAAATCAAAATATTTTTATAATTATAATTAATTTCAGGGTTATAATAATCTTTCTTATTATAATTTTTTAATCTTTCAATTTAAAATAATATCATTTTAAAAATAAGTATAAATAACTTATCTGTATTTACTGTATAAACATTAAATCCAATAAATTTTTTCACAAACTCTCAGTCAAGTGTTATATGTTATTATTTCTGTATACCACTTTCATAATATCCTATCATGGGAAAGAGAACTCTTACATCACACAATTATTATTATTTTTTAAATTATACTTCACATTAATTTAGTGATTTAAAGAAATTTACATTGGTTTAAGTCATCAATCATAAAAAAATTTATTTATTTATTTCTTTAATTATAACAAGTGACGCCAATTTTTTAATATAAAAAAGTGACATCAATTTATTTATTTATAATTTAAAAGTTCCATCAACAACATTCCCACAATTCGTATGTAAAAATAAATAAATTATAATATCAACTTATGTAGATGAGCTTGGCAATTTTAACCTTAACAGTGAATACCAACTCACCCCGCTCAACACGGTGTGGAATTTCAACCCCTTTTCAGAATTTGAATGTAATCTTACAACTTTAAATAACAAAATACATAAAAAGAAAAAGAAATAACTTCCTACACAGCCACATTAAAATTCGTAAAAGCTAACTTTCTTGTACAAAGAGCAAGACATAAAAACACATGGATTTTACGGTTGGACAAAGATACTAGAAACCAGAAAGCCCGTAATTAAATCATGCAACTTCTTAATGGGATATGTTTTTCTGACGTTGTCTCATCTAACACATAAAAAAGAGAAATATGATTTGTTTTTTTTCTTTCTCCCTCTTCTTTTAAGTGGGTTTCACTCACTTATTTGTGTGTTACATAAGACAATATTTCATTTTCTTAACTCATTGTACAGAAGATCCAAAGGAAGAAAAAGATAAAATACAAACTGTACACTTTTGGCTATAACCCTATATTTTAAGGGAATAATATTTATAAGATAATTTTATCATTTATGTATATTGTGAGGTTAATTTGTTTTGCTTTATATAAATCTCATGTATTTTTATATGTACAGAGGAATTAAGATTATATCCTACAATATAAAAAACATTAATCTTATAATTTAATAAGAGAAAACACATCAAATTGGCTCTCACAGTCACAAGTCACGGTCTTTCCATATAGTCTCAAATTTCTAATCCTTTCAACATCAATAGTTTTAAAATTTCAATTCAAATAAACTAAAATGATTGCAGCATTGAAACATATATTTAACTCTCCATTCATCTACCATCATTGTTTCTTAAATTTTTAATGAAATAACGGGATAACAAATAAAAATAAAAAATAAAAACAACAACCACAACTCAGAAATTGGCACTTGGAGAGTAAAATGCACTTCCCCAGCATCAAAGGCCAACTCCAACTCAGAACTACGAGTGTACCATAACCCCCCTCTCACTTCCTTCTTCTTTTTCATTTAAAAACATCCCCTTCACGCCGTGAAATCCACGCGCCACCGTTCTCCGAACTCACGGCTTCGATAAACTGCGGTGCATTATTATTATATATCTCAAATGGGTTGCACGGCTTCGAAGCTCGAAAACGAGGACACGGTGCGGCGGTGCAAGGACCGTCGCCGCCTCATGAAGGAGGCCGTCTACGCGCGCCACCACCTCGCCGCTGCACACTCCGACTACTGCCGCTCCCTCCGCCTCACCGGCTCCGCCCTCTCAACTTTCGCCTCCGGAGAACCCCTCTCCGTGTCCGACAACACCCCCGCAGTATTCCTCAACCCAAAACCCACCACCGCCACACCCACCGCCTCCGCCGCCACAATCCATCACCGACAACCATCTCCCTCACCTTCCATCCACCGTCCTCCGCCGCCACGATTCAACCCTTCACCTTCCCCCACCATAGCGAGCTCCAAGCTTCCCCACATTCTCTCCTCGTCGAGCATCGCCTCCGCCAACAACCACCACCACCAGCGGCGGCGAAAACCACCGCAGCCAAAGCTCCCCCACATCCTCTCAGAGTCGAGCCCTTCATCAACGCCTCGAAGCCAATCGTTCCCTTCGAACTTCTTCCCCACAGCACACTCTACCTACTCATCAACCCCTTCTCAAACCTCTTCTGTTTGGAATTGGGAAAACTTCTACCCTCCACCCCCACCTCCCGCTTCCGATTACTTCCGCCACCGTTCCGAAACCGACAGAGAAGAAGAAGAAGCAGAAGCTGAAGAAGAAGAAGAATCAGCTTCTGAATTCTCTTATAAAACCCAAAAAAAAGAAAATGCCTACCAAGGTTTGGAGTCAGAGCGATCCGAATATGATTATTTCAACGAAAAACTCGTTAGTGAAAAACATCAGCATCAGCGTCAGCATCAACATCAACATAACCATCATAGTCATCATCTTCCAGGGGAGTACACTGAGACTGAGAGAGAGGAAGTTCAGTGTAGTGAGTGGGGAGATCACTACAGCACAACAAGCTCTTCCGATGATGGGGTTGAAGGTGATGTTGATTCCAGGTCCGAGATTGGGACCCGCTCCAATTTCGGGTCGTCGGTTCGGGCTGAGTCTTTGGCCGGAGATCCGGTTTCGGCGCCGAAGAAGGCTTATGTTGCCGCGACGGCTTCGTCGACGGGGACGGGGGAGATGATGGAGATGAAGATGGTGGTGAGGCACAAGGATTTGAAGGAGATTATTGAAGCTATTAAAGAGAATTTTGAGAATGCTGCCATGGCTGGAGATGAGGTTTCGGAGATGCTTGAGATCGGTAGGGCTCAGATTGATCGGAGTTTCAGGCAATTGAGGAGTAAGTTCTAGTTCATTCGTTTTGAAATCTTGGGTCTCACTTTTTTGTTGGTTGTTTTTGGTTCCTGGGAAAGTTTTTAGCCACAATTCTGATTTTTGCTTTTCCGGCGTTTGAATTGATTATTTAAGAAAAATAAAAATTCTGTGAAAGTTTAAATTGATTTGAATTTGACGATTTTGATTTATCTTTGCCGTGTGGAAATTTTTTACTGGGGCTCAGTTTTTTCTTCTGGGTTTGTGTTTGGTTACTGAGAAACCATGGGAAAGTTTAATTTTCCGGGGCATTTTTGCATCAAATTCATTGGTAAGTCAGATAAAAATCATCGCTTTTGGCTTTCTCAACATCCAAACAGCGCATTGGAAATTCTGGGCAAGTTTGAATAGTTTCGAATTTGACGATTTTGATTGCAGAAACTGTGTATCACTCAAGTAGCATATTGAGCAACCTGAGCTCCAGTTGGACCTCAAAACCGCCATTGGCGGTTAAGTACCGGATCGACGCCGGTTCGCTGGCAGAACCGGACGGTACGAAGAGTCTTTGCTCCACTTTGGATCGGCTTTTGGCTTGGGAGAAGAAGCTCTATGAGGAAGTTAAGGTAATTTTTGCTTAATTTCTGGGTGTTTTTGTTATTTTCAAGAATATGCTTCCTTTTTAGAAAAATTAATTTTTTGTTATATTTTTCGAGACAATAAAAAGGTGAAGGAAAGGAAATGAGTGAGGATAAGCATTGTAGCTATGTTGGACTTTGGTAGCGTAGGCTCACCGCAGTATTTGACTGTTTAGTGTGAAAATGACAACCTTTTTTCTTCTTGTCGTGTGAATTTGACCAAAATAACCTCGGATATTGGGACTATCCTTTATTACAGGAATAACGCTAACATTTACACGTTGAGGCAAACATCGCGTCTCATATCTAAATAGTTTTTATCATCTCATCACAGTTACTTCCACCTCCTTATTTTATATTTATATATATTTACACTCAAATTCTGTCACATGCCCACATATTTTAGTTTTGAGCAAATTTGTCCGCAAATGATGTTCAAAAAACTTTTGATGTAGTAATTTTTAGTTAGGTACAGTCTATCATAAATACTCAAAATCATAGTGTAAGGTTGCGGGGCATGATAGAAATGTGTTTATTTTGAAAAATGTGCGTACCAGATAATGTGGATAATATCCTGGTTTGGATGGCTGTGCTTGCTTTGGCATGAATGAAAGCTAAATGAGTTTTTAGAAAAATTAACAAATGTGTAAAATATGACTTTTTGCTGGTGTTAATATTATTTATATGATATTTTTTATTATTTATTGTGTGTGAAATGACTGAAATACTCCCACCCTTTTTACTCTTTCCCCAATGAGACAAACTGGCTTTGTGGCTGGAAGGGAAAATAACAATGAAGTGAAGAACAAAGTGGTTAACAGATAAAGTTACTACATCACTTGCCAGTTTCTTTAAATTTTGTCCTACATGTGATTGAATGTCCGTAAGTTATGAATGAAGGACAAATGTTTTCAGTTATATATATAGCTTTACTTGCCATAAAAAGGCTGGTTTCTTTGGACATACAGAACTAAAAAAAAAGAAAAAAGTAATGCCTAGGGTATTCAATTATTCACCACGGATGCTTGGAATCACCATCAATGTTCTGTCCATCTTAGCTTCCTTTTTACCAAACTGAAGTCAGGTGGTTGGTTCTGTTGTGTTTACTTTTAGCTAAAATCATGTGGTTTGGAAACAAAATGTGCTGACGCATTCTACAAATTCTTATTGAATTTAGGCTAGAGAAGGGGTGAAGATTGAACATGAAAAGAAATTGGCAGCTCTGCAGAGTCAGGAATACAAAGGAGAGGATGAAGCAAAGATATTCAAAACCAAGGCTTCCATAAATAGGCTGCATTCACTAATAATTGTCACATCTCAGGCTGTGTCTACCACCTCAACTGCCATTATAGGCCTTAGGGACTCCGATCTTGTTCCTCAGCTTGTTGAGCTCTGTCACGGGTATGTATGTTTTGCAATTGTTTTACTGTTTTGTTTGATCCAAGTGTCGGTCAGGGACAACTAAATAACCAAGTTCTAGCACAATAAGATTAGACTGTTCAATCATTAATCCACAAGGAACTATGGTGATCAGAAAATTCAATCCAATTTGACTAAAATTCAGGCATATGGTAGCTCACTGAACTGCCGTTCGTACTACTGTAATAAATTCATCTGGTCCCCAAAATTTTCAAGTATGTTGAATTAAAAGCAATCCCGTGTGTTTGATTTTATTGTGTCCCCTTATGAATTAAATGTGATATTTGAGACTTCATGATCAAATTCACTTTAAATTATGTGCAGCTTGTTATGTTACCATAATTTAGGATCATACTGTGACTTGCTTCTAGGATTTTTACGCCCGAATTTGTGTGAAAGGAAAGAATTGTAGATGACAGAATGCGAGGACTTTGAACTGTAACAAGTATCCACCACTCTGAAAGGACTTTTAACTGAGAACAATCGAAATACTTTTTTTTTTTTTTTTTAAATGCCCCGTGTTAGTATGCTAGTATGGATCAAGAAAATTTTGGGTGGTAGTTGAAAGCATTATAGCTTACATTTCTCATATGCCAACTACTTCATCATCTCTGTGTAATTGCATGTGCCTCTTCGTACCAAACTGTCCCACTGGCCACTACTGCATACCTCTTATAATCAAACGTTGGCCCACCACTGTACCTGTCAAAATGTTATTTGTCTCTATTAGGCTCCATTTGAGCAAAATAATTTATTGATGGAGTTAGGTATGTTACGGTAACTTGGGTATGATGATAAACACTCATTATCTGTTTCTAGCCTCTTTGAATGGTTGCTGGGTGCTATAAATTGAACAAAATAAATATATTTTTGCTGTTACTGTTATTCATCCGTTTGCTTCATTGTTACATATAATCAATTTGGGGCAATTTTGCCACAATATATTAAAACCAAAGGATTGTATATAAACATGGTGGTGTGATTTTGATGAAGCATCTTAGTTGCTATTAATTATGTAGTTGCAATTTAACTTTATACAAGGTAGGGATCAATTTATACTAGTGTAACATTTCTCACAATTACACCACTCAATAATTTTTTATGAAAGATGATTTTGGTAATGCAATGTTGATATATAACTAAAAGATATTGCATGTGAAAGTCCAGAAAATCTAAACAAGAATACATTGTGATCTAATGGTTGATATTTTTTTACTTGAAAAGTATATTATATTTTAATTTTTAAACATTTTGATGGAGTGCAAAAAAATATCATGGATTAATGTAAGATTTTATGCGCTTGATGTCAACATTAACATCACATTTAATCCAAACTAGTTGGGGTCGGCGGTAAATTTTATGAGATTGGTATGCATGATATAAACTTTGCTGCCATTGTCAAGTGTCAACTACCTTAACCACATGGTGGCAAAAAGTTGCCACAATCTGTGTAAACCTTCAATGTGGCAGGTGATTATTTAGTGGAGTCAGTGCATATAAAAAGAGGTGCATGACATGAGAATAAAGTTTGACAATCACAACTCTTGAGGATAGAATTATCTATTATTCATTGGTGTTGGCAAAATCTTGTAATGACTTAGAGAATTGTTTTCCTCACTTCTGAAACAGCTGGGTGCGCAGGTGCCAGAATTTTACCTAAAGAAATTGTCTCAGTGCAACTATTGTTAACCTCTTTATTTTGGTCTGAATTAAAAATGGGAATGTGCTCACTGGCAGTTGTCTTATGTTTGTGAATTTGTGATATGTCAAATGTAGAATTATGTACATGTGGAGATCAATGCACCAGTACCATGAAGTTCAAAGCAACATTGTGCAGCAAGTCCGTGGCCTCGTGAACAGATCATCAAGAGGTTTCTCAACTTCCGAACTGCACAGGCAGGCAACTCGGGATCTCGAATCGGCTTTGTCAGTTTGGCATTCCAGTTTTTGTCGCCTTATAAAATTTCAGCGCGACTTTATCCTGTCCTTACATGGCTGGTTTAAGCTCAGCCTCATTCCAGTCAATAATGATAACATCAACAACAACAACAGCAGGGAACAATCTGATGTGTATCTGTTTTTTGATGAATGGAAGCTGGCACTTGACCGTGTCCCAGACACAGTGGCATCTGAAGCCATCAAGAGCTTTATCAATGTTGTCCATGTGATATCTACCAAGCAAGTTGAAGAGCTCAAGATCAAAAAAAGAACCGAGACTGCTTCCAAGGAACTTGAGAAAAAGGCTTCATCTCTTAGAACTATAGAAAGGAAGTTTTACCACTCATATTCTATGGTAGGCATTGGCCTTCCAGACTCTGCACCTGATAATGGACAAGGCTTGGATGCACGTGACCCACTTGCTGAGAAAAAATTGGAACTTGCAACCTGCCAAAGGCGCGTTGAAGATGAAATGCTGAAGCATTCAAAATCTGTTGAGGTTACAAGAGCTATGACACTCAACCATTTACAGACAGGTTTGCCTGGAGTGTTTCAGGCACTGACCAGTTTTTCTTCCTTGTTCACTGAGGCTCTTGGTTCAGTATGTAACCGTTCATATGCCATCAACTAGGTAAATTATTTGTTCTGCTTGGGATCTAAGTTCTTCATAAGGGCAGGGATTTTTTTTGGCCGCAAACTCTTATTGCTCTTGCCATTTTTAGTTATATTTTGAAATGTAAATATGAAGAATTTTGTGGTTCCACCTATTTTGATGGGAATGTGAATGTTCTTATTGTACAGAGAATTTTCTTTGTTTATTGTATCAGAGGATTGCAATTTTTAATATATCAATAAATTATACGCTTTGTGCTTTCAGGTTCCATTATCAATTTTTTCTTTCTTTATATAAATTGTGTTGTGTATATATACCAAGGAAAAAACACTTCTCATATTGTATGAGAAGTATTTTTTTTTTTTGGTAAGCTATGTATGAGAAGTATTTTATCATGTTATAATTCTTCGATTTGTGTGTAAAATTCTTTATATTTTATTTATATTTTTTGTAGTAAGTGTGGGCACACCACTAATTAAGTTATAACATGAGAAAATAAAAACTCATATAGTACTATGTTGAAGAACAAGTGCAAAGGTTTTTTGTTTTTTTTTCGTTGAGTTTGTATACTTATATATCTTAATGTGAATTTTTTGGGAAGTAGTAAGGAGATTAATGGGTGATTCCTAGTATTTGGTTTCCAGGAATCTTACATGCAGAAATTTAATATTTAGTTGGATGAGATTTAAACTTCATTGTTTAATAGGTTATTATAATTCTTCCATATGTGACACTGGTTTAGGATCTTATAAAATTAGGTTGTCTTTCATTTATGGAAATAATATTTCTCATACAAGATGTAAATAATTTTATTTCCTGAGCTCGCATGAAAGTGAATGAGACTCTTTTTTTCATTTTCTCATAGGACCCCATTAACTGTTATTTGAGTGCAGGGGATAAAGTTATCTTCATGTTATAGGAAAAATATTATTTCCTAAAAAAATATTGTTATTTACTAAATAGGTTACAAAATATTGTTCATTTTATAAAAATAAAATAAAATATTAATAACTCATTCTTTCATTATATGTAACTCTAATACATAAAAATCCTATGTATCGTTTATGAAATAGGTAATAACAAAAGAAAAAAAAAAAACTGTTGAAATAACTAACATCACATAAAATTATTTTGTGTGGAAATTACCTGTGTTGAATTCTTCAATATCCATCAAAGTCAATGGTGGGGTAAGATCAGTGACACCCAGTGAGATGCTCTCTCAACATCAATTTCTGTTATCTTTCATTTCCACAAAGAGAAGATGGTGTGCTAATTGAGGCTGACAGCTAATGTGGACAAGAACGGACAACGGGCCTTACAATTGAAATTAGAAAGTTGCACAGAGCACGTGGTGTGTTGAAGATTAGATATGTACAATTTGCAGAGTCCTGATCTTAATTCGTTTTAGTATTGACATTTATTATTGGAAAAATAATTTTTGCTTCAAAACCAGCAATTATTGTCTCTACCGCAAATACAAAATGATAGGGAGAGAAAGCAGAAATTATTTGTCGCAAAAATCATTTTTCCTTTATTATTTTATACTTAGGGCTCAATTGGATGTGTTTTTTTTCCTCCAAAAGTTGCTTTCTTTCTTGAAAAAAAGCACTTCTCAGTTTTAGTTCATTTGAATATCTGCTTTTAAAAAAAGCAGAAGTCACAAAAAAGTCAAAAATTTACTTTTTCCATAACCTAAAAATTTTAACTTCTAAAAAAAGCAGAAGTTAAAAGTCAAATATTTTTTTCAAAAACTAAATATTTTTATAAAAATATAAATAGCTTTAACTTTTATAAAAAAAAAAACTTCTAAAATAAAGAAGAGATAAAAATTACTTTTTTTAAAAGGGAAAACGAACGCGCTCTTAGTTTTTGTGCAATTGGAAATGCTCTTCATAGTCCTATATCACTTTGTCAATCGTCATTTGAAAACTGCCCTCACTTCCCTTTTCAGATTCAGATTCCGTTTCACCATTGCTTTATCATTAGCTATTTTTTATTTTTTTTCTTGAATGCTCGATTATCTTTAGGGTGTGTTTGGTACAGGAGAAATTTTATGGTGACCGGGAATCATGATTAATGGGAATTCAGTAGAAATTGAGTTTACTTGGAATCTTACGAAAGATGTGTTTGGTTCGCCAAAATATTACCGGGAATATTGGGTAAAAATGATTGATTCCATATTTGGTTTAGAACGAAATATGACTTGGAATATGAGGTTATTTTACAAAAATAACTCCAAACTATTTTTACTTTTGTAATTGATAGATTGGGTCTAGATTTTTATGTGTATTGGGGTATTTTTGTCTCAAAATTTATTGTTGTGCTTTCCCTTTACTTGGTATTCTGAATTACCATATTATTTTTGGTAATCTGAATAGTGACTTTTCTTTATAAATCAAATTACCGGTAATCCTTGGATATCCGGGAATCGTAATTTATTCCTTCTACCAAACGTGGTAATTACATTTACCAAAGAAGGATTACTGGTAATCCTCTTCAAAAACTTGAACCAAACACCCTTTATGGTATTGGCGATGGGGAAAGCAGAAATTTCATCCCATAACAAAGAGTATGTTATGGACGGTCACAGTCCAAAATTATGAGTAAACCTTTAGAGGCTCATGTAATGATTATTCCATTGTCTTTTCATAGTTAGAACCTTAAATATCATAGTGGAGGATCTTTCACTCCCTCCACACAGTTCATCACACTATATAGTGGTGCACTGCCTCACCGTAATAATGAGTCAATGGTCAAAATGGTTCTAGCTCACCTTACTCTTGTTATTAAAGAATATTTTTTTATCTATATATACATCTTTTTGTCAATTGAAGAGACATATTGCATTTATCACTTTAGTTGTTTCTTGCTGAAATATTGAATTAGCGTGTCCTCATATATATTTTTCCTCTCTTCAGCCATTTCTGAGATATACACATTGGTGATTTCTCCTAGAACTTTATTCCATACCATTGCGTTTAAGAACATCTCTATATTGATATATTTTAAGGGATGCAAACCTAACTCTCTTACACATGGTGATTCCTCCTAACTCTCGTCAAGCAATTCACCAAAACGAGCAGCAACAACCACAAATCGAAACCCAAGCTAAAAGTCAAGTAGTCATTGCTCCACAACCAAACCAGCACATCATCAATCTCACTCATATCAAGCCCCACCACCTCCACCTTCAAGCTCAACCTTTTGCTTGTGTTGTGCTGATTACAATCCTACTTAGAGCGGTAAAGTATGATTCATTCAAGAATATTGTAATGGGAAATAAGAGATTTTTTGCAACAATCAATTAATACTATATGTCTTACTTGTAAGATATAATTATAATTTTAAAAGTTATTTTTTTCTTTTTCCTCACAAGATTGTGGGCTGACATGTGAGAGAGAAAAAAAATAATTTTAATATTATAACTATGTATTACTAGTAAAACATAATGTTAATTAGTTGCTGGAAAAAATATCTTATGCAATGAAAGAAGAAGTTGGAGACCTATTGTAATAGTTTATATTACTTTAGAAGAATTTTATTAATTTTACTTATTTCTTTATATTTCACAATTTTTTTTCTTATTTTTAGGTTTCTAATTAATATACACAGAATTTTTTTTTCTCTGTAGTCTATATATACCGTCCCAAAATCTAAATAATTTCAACAAAGCGAACCTCCGGCTTTGCTCCCATATTTTTTACTAAATTGGTAGTGTTGTTATAAGTTTTTTATAATTTATAGATTTTTCATTTAACAACTATATATACGGAGGCATGTTATATTTACAAACTTTTTTGTTTACAAACTACACTAAGTACGACCGGTCATATTTTAATTACAGTGTACGATCGGTCGTATTTAGTGTAATTTGCAAAAAAAAATTTGTAAACGGATCTTATCTCATATATATGATCTAAACTTTCTAACCGGTGAAATTGTGCTATTGGATTAACATTGCAGTCTGGAATCAAAGGGTTCTAAGCTATCAAATATCATAAAAGCCCCCTTACTTCGTAAAAAAAATCCATAATTTTTTAAATAATAGTTAACAAATAACAATGTTTTATCTATCCGAAGTAAATGATATAAAAAGGGTAAATAACAAAAATAAATTTCATTCGGGTAACTAATTATGTCTATAAACAAAGAATTTTATCTGTAAAATTAAAAGTAATAGATAATATAGATAAGGGAAAAGTTAATATCCTTGTTGTGGTTTACTTCAGAATTATTTATGTTTCTGTGGTTTTTTTTTATCATATATGTCCATGTGGTTTGCAAAAGGATATGTTTTTTATCACATGTGCCCCTGTGATTTTTTATTTTTTACAAAGCACAGGGCATATGTGATAAGAAAAAAAATCACAGGAACTAGATGATTCTAAAGCAAACCACAGAACATCGGTGAACTTTTCCCTACAGATAAAAAGGCATCACCAGCATCCTATTATACGTAACTATAAGCATCACCAGGCTAGAAGATCTCAATGACGAACAAATTATAGAAATTCTTCACCTTCTTTCCCTTCGTCTTGTTCTTCAGCGAAAAAGCGTGAGCTAAACATTCATGCCTGTGGTTTGTTATCCCTCCTTTTTTTCTCTGATTTTTTTTAGAAATATTTCAATCAGTTTATCATTTTCTGATTAGTTCGATTCGAGACAAGTCTCAGAATTATAAATTTAAAGGATTGAACACATGCTTTTATCCTCACTTACTTAATTTTTCGGCAAAAAAAAAAGAAGACCTATGCAGTATGCAAACAACACGTAAATATGCGTCCCAACGAAGTAATTTGCATTTTTAATAAAAAAAAAAATAGTTTGTGGTGAGAGAAGTTTTATTGAGAATTTATAATAGACTTATAAATCGCTTACCATTTATATTTGATTCCAAGTCATGGGGAATTCACGAAATTTGGGGCTTTACCGATGTGCATGCAGACTAATAATCACAAGGTGTTTGTCCTTCCAATAATAGGAAATGAACTTAAGCTACCATCACCAATTAGAACATACACAAACCATTTGCACCATTTTTTTTGTTTTTTTCAAGCGTGTTGTTTTACTTTGACTGCAAAAGATCGATTTTGGGGGATTAGGGTATTGGGCTTCAGTAAGCAATCCAGGTTTTTTCATTTTTTGGTGAAACAAGGTTTTAGATCCTGGGCTTAGATTTGTTTAGTGGGTCAAGGTTTCTTTTTTTCGTAAATTAAAGCTTATTTATTTATATTTGTTAGGTATT